GGTGATGACCTCTACTTATGCGGAGCATATGCCTAGTCTATGTTTAGTCTATATCTAGTGTATGTCTAGTCTAGTCTATGTCTATGTCTAGTCTATGTCTAGTCTAGTCTATGTCTAGTCTATGTCTAGTCTATGTCTAGTCTATGTCTAGTCTATGTCTAGTCTATGTCTAGTCTATGTCTAGTCTATGTCTAGTCTATGTCTAGTCTATGTCTAGTCTATGTCTAGTTTATGTCTAGTCTATGTCTAGTCTATGTCTAGTCTATGTCTAGTCTATGTCTAGTCTATGTCTAGTCTATGGCTAGTCTATGTCTAGTCTATGTCTACATCTACTCTATGTCCAATCTATTACCCGGTATTAGCCTGAAAGTATACACATTTTAACAAATTTTTACAGTTTCTTATATTACAAATCACATGAACCATTTAAGAATTCTAAAACTCAAATTTATCTCTTCTCAAAAATTAATCTCCTTTTAAAAATGAAAACATTCCACAGATCTGTGTTTGTCTACTTTAATCACTTAATCGAAATATTCTCTGCTCTTTGTATTATTTTCTATATTAATTGTATATTTTTGTTTATATTTCTGTTAAATATTTATGTTTATTAATAAAAGAAATCTTTTTAAACTTGTACCATGAAACCCCCATCATCAAAATCAACACCATCACATTGTCACCAGTTGTTGTATACATTTAATATGTCTTTTTATTTTTCTTTTATTTTAAATATTTTGTGTATAGTGTGCAACATTTTTTTTGCATGTTGCACATGTGGCATTTTTATGTTTGTAGAATATTTTACCAACAAATTTTTGTTGCTTTCAAGGTACAAGTTTATTATTATTGTAGAGAATATAAAGAAAGAAAAACTTTTGCGTTGCTTTAGTGTTTTCCTTTCGAAATAAAAGTGCCTCAATTAATCAAAATATTTAATATTTTATAAACTGAGTTTTCACTGCAAAAGAAAAACTTTTGATTTTTATTTTTAGCAATTAAATAAAAAAAGTTGTTGGGTGTAAAACTATCGCATGTTGTTAACTAAAGAAATATAGAAAAGTAAAGTTTGGCAAATTTATATTAAAAATTTATAATATTTATATAGTTATAAATTCATAAAAATTATGAATTAGCTTCATTTTCAATTTTTTAGGATTTATTTCGGAGTTTTGTAACACATTCTGTTTACCTATGACACAGACTAGACATAGACTAGACATAGACTAGACATAGACTAGACATAGACTAGACATAGACTAGACATAGACTAGACATAGACTAGACATAGGCTAGACATAGACTAGACATAGACTAGACATAGATAGACATAGACAGACATAGATAGACTAGACTAGACATAGACTAGACATAGACTAGACATAGACTAGACATAGACTAGACATAGACTAGACATAGACTAGACATAGACTAGACATAGACTAGACATAGACTAGACATAGACTAGACATAGACTAGACATAGACTAGACATAGACTAGACATAGACTAGACATAGACTAGACATAGACTAGACATAGACTAGACATAGACTAGACATAGACTAGACATAGACTAGACATAGACTAGACATAGACTAGACATAGACTAGACTAGAGACATAGACTAGACATAGACTAGACATAGACTAGACATAGACTAGACATAGACTAGACATAGACTAGACATAGACTAGACATAGACTAGACATAGACTAGACATAGACTAGACATAGACTAGACATAGACTAGACATAGACTAGACATAGACTAGACATAGACTAGACTAGACATAGACTAGACATAGACTAGACATAGACTAGACATAGCCTAGACATAGACTAGACATAGACTAGACATAGACTAGACATAGACTAGACATAGACTAGACATAGACTAGACATAGACTAGACATAGACTAGACATAGACTATACAAGACTAGACATAGACTAGACATAGACTAGACATAGACTAGACATAGACTAGACATAGACTAGACATAGACTAGACATAGACTAGACATAGACTAGACATAGAACGAGACCTAGACTACATAGACTAGACATAGACTAGACATAGACTAGACATAGACTAGACATAGACAGACATAGACTAGACATAGACTAGACATAGACTAGACATAGACTAGACATAGACCTAGACATAGACTAGACATAGACTAGACATAGACTAGACATAGACTAGACATAGACTAGACATAGACTAGACATAGACTAGACATAGACTAGACATAGACTAGACATAGACTAGACATAGGACTAGACATAGACTAGACATAGACTAGACATAGACTAGACATAGACTAGACATAGACTAGACATAGACTAGACATAGACTAGACATAGACTAGACATAGACTAGACATAGACTAGACATAGACTAGACATAGACTAGACATAGACTAGACTAGACTAGACTAGACATAGACTAGACATAGACTAGACATAGACTAGACTAGACTAGACATAGACTAGACATAGACTAGACATAGACTAGACATAGACTAGACATAGACTAGACATAGACTAGACATAGACTAGACATAGACTAGACATAGACTAGACATAGACTAGACATAGACTAGACATAGACTAGACATAGACTAGAATAGACTAGACATAGACTAGACATAGACTAGACATAGACTAGACATAGACTAGACATAGACTAGACATAGACTAGACATAGACTAGACATAGACTAGACATAGACTAGACATAGACTAGACATAGACTAGACATAGACTAGACATAGACTAGACATAGACTAGACATAGACTAGACATAGACTAGACATAGACTAGACATAGACTAGACATAGACTAGACATAGACTAGACATAGACTAGACATAGACTAGACATAGACTAGACATAGACTAGACATAGACTAGACATAGACTAGACATAGATAGACATAGACTAGACATAGACTAGACATAGACTAGACATAGACTAGACATAGACTAGACATAGACTAGACATAGACTAGACATAGACTAGACATAGACTAGACATAGACTAGACATAGACTAGACAGACATAGACTAGACATAGACTAGACATAGACTAGACATAGACTAGACATAGACTAGACATAGACTAGACATAGACTAGACATAGACTAGACATAGACTAGACATAGACTAGACATAGACTAGACATAGACTAGACTAGACATAGACTAGACATAGGCTAGACATAGACTAGACATAGACTAGACATAGACTAGACATAGACTAGACATAGACTAGACATAGACTAGACATAGACTAGACATAGACTAGACATAGACTAGACATAGACTAGACATAGACTAGACTAGACATAGACTAGACATAGACTAGAATAGACTAGACATAGACTAGACATAGACTAGACATAGACCTAGACATAGACTAGACATAGACTAGACATAGACTAGACATAGACTAGACATAGACTAGACATAGACTAGACATAGACTAGACATAGACTAGACATAGACTAGACATAGACTAGACATAGACTAGACATAGACTAGACATAGACTAGACATAGACTAGACATAGACTAGACATAGACTAGACATAGACTAGACATAGACTAGACATAGACTAGACATAGACTAGACATAGACTAGACATAGACTAGAATAGACTAGACATAGACTAGACATAGACTAGACATAGACTAGACATAGACTAGGACATAGACTAGACATAGACTAGACATAGGACTAGGACATAGACTAGACATAGACTAGACATAGGACTAGACATAGACTAGACATAGACTAGACATAGACTAGACATAGACTAGACATAGACTAGACATAGACCTAGACATAGACTAGACATAGACTAGACATAGACTAGAACATAGACTAGACAGACTAGACATAGACTAGCACATAAGACTAGACATAGGACTAGACATAAGACTAGACATAGACTAGACATAGACTAGACATAGACTAGACATAGACTAGACATAGACTAGACTATAGACTAGACATTAGACATAGACACTAGACATAGGACTGACATAGACTAAGACATAGACTAGACCTAGACTAGACTAGACATAGACTAGGCCATAGCCTAGACCACTAGACTAGACATAGACTAGACATAGACTAGACATAGACTAGACATAGACTAGACATAGACTAGACCATAGACTAGACAGTAGACTAATAGACATAGACTAGACATAGACTAGACATAGAGCTTAGACATAGCCTAGACCATAGACTAGACATAGACTAGACATAACTAGGACATAGACTAGACATAGACTAGACATAGACTAGACATAGACCTAGACATAGACTAGACATATACTAGACCTAGACTAGAATCGGACTAGACATAGACTAGACATAGACTAGACATAGGAGCTAGACATAGACTAGACATAGGCTCGACATAGACTAGACATAGACTAGACATAGACTAGACATAGGACTAGCATAGGACTATAAGACTAGACATAGGACTAGACATTAGACTAGACATCGACTAGACTAGACATAGACTAGACATAGACTAGACATAGACTAGACATAGACTAGACATAGACTAGACATAGACTAGACATAGACTAGACATAGACTAGACATAGACTAGACATAGACTAGACATAGACTAGACATAGAAGACATAGACTAGACATAGACTAGACATAGACTAGACATAGACTAGACATAGACTAGACATAGACTAGACATAGACTAGACATAGACTAGACATAGACTAGACATAGACTAGACATAGACTAGACATAGACTAGACATAGACTAGACATAGACTAGACATAGACTAGACATAGACTAGACATAGACTAGAATAGACTAGACATAGACTAGCATAGACTAGACATAGACTAGACATAGACTAGACATAGACTAGACATAGACTAGACATAGACTAGATATAGACTAGATATAGACTAGACATAGACGTAAACTAAATGCATAAAACCGCTTAATTAATCACTTACCTTTAGTGATTCCGGAAAAAAACGTTCTAAATAATCCAATATTTCGGGAAGCTCAGATTCTTGCACCAAACGGAAGTGTCTGCCTTCAGGAATGATTTCCATTTCTAAAAGAAGATTTAAAAGAAAAACATTTACATTAAAATTACTTTCATCACATACTTAAAAACATGACGAAAAAAAACATTGTAAAAGTTCTCCTCTAATAAGATGTAAATGCTTTAAAAGTATTTCCGCTTAAACAGGATTTACACTGTTTTTTTTTTAAGGCAACATTTTTTTTATATTCATTTCATAATGGTCCTCTTTCAAGGCCATTGCAGTGGTAATGAATGCAGCGAAAGAAATAAAAAAAACTCATATAAAATTAAAACACAAAAAAATAAAAATAGTCCTTTAGAAGATTTCAGAAAAAAAATCAATGCTATTGTTATAAATTTCAACTCTGTATCATCTAAATGAAATCTACTGCGTTTAACAACAATGCTCTTGAAATGCCTTAAACGGCAACGACAACAACAATATTGTTAGTGTTGCTGACGATGATGATGCCGTTGCTGCTGCTGCTATTGCTGTTGATGATGGCCTGATGGTGATAGTGATGAAATATGGATGACTGCTTGAAAGAATGACTGACTGAATGAGAGTGATTGACTGACTGACTAACTGTATAAAATACAAAGTGTAATGTATGTAAACACTTTATGTAATGTATGTATATTATATTTTCAATGCGTAATGAATGAACGAATGAATTGTTGAAAGTTGTTATATTTACAAACAAAATAATAAAAAAAATGTACTTTGCAACTTTATTCGTTATTCCTTTGTGTATAATAGTTTACTGGAAATATATACATTAGACCGTTTCAGTTGTTTCCTATTCAGCTTACGTACGATCCTCTATGAATCCAAATTATTTTGAGAATTACAATTTTCTGTGAGTCAGCCTAATATTTATATACATATATATTTTACACTGTTTTTTTTTTTTTAATTTTGTTGTTTAATTTAAATATTATCTTTTTAGCTTTAACCTTGTGCAAATATCCATAGGCATTTTGGAATGAAAAATCTGTTTTTAATTGGTTTGTCTGAATGTCAATTTTAGTTGTTTGTTGGTAGTTGTTTAACCCTGGGTATACCTTTTGGACTCTACATTACTATACCCAAAAATAATGTTTTAACGCTCAGTTCTTTTCTTTGTAAATATAAGAATAAACTTTTAATCACTAGTTTTCTTGGGATTTTTAGTTTTTCAGATTTTTCTACCAAAAATTCTTGATTCATTCTTTAATCGATTCCATTTACTTAAAAATCTGTTCTTTTTATACAAAATCTTTGCAAATCGCTATATTTTTCTTGTACATAACTTGCAATAGTTTTTTTTTATAGCGTTTAAGTAAATATTTTTATGATAAATCGAGTAGTATTTAAGCAAGACTGCAGTGGAAATATACTTTGTGTGTTTCTAATGCAGATCACTTATTAATTGACGCTGTAAATGGAACTTTGTTTTAATTAAAACTACAACTATTTTCTAAACTATTAATATAAATAAAATATGTGCATAGATTTAACCCATTTTAGAACAAGTCTACATTAAGCTCTTCAGGGACGAAACAAAAATTGTGCAGATAATAGAATTTGCTCGTTAGTTAGTTATTAGTTAGTTAGTTAGTTAGTTAGTTAGTTAGTTAGTTAGTTAGTTAGTTAGTAGTTAGTAGTTAGTTAGTTAGTTAGTTAGTTAGTTAGTTAGTTAGTTAGTTAGTTAGTTAGTTAGTTAGTTAGTAGTTAGTTAGTTAGAGTTAGTAGTTAGTTAGTTAGTTAGTTAGTTAGTTAGTTAGTAGTAGTTAGTAGTTAGTTAGTTAGTTAGTTAGTTAGTTAGTTAGTAGTTAGTTAGTTAGTTAGTTAGTTAGTTAGTTAGTTAGTTAGTAGTTAGTTAGTTAGTTAGTTAGTTAGTTAGTAGTTAGTTAGTTAGTAGTTAGTTAGTTAGTTAGTTAGTTAGTTAGTTAGTTAGTTAGTTAGTGTTAGTTAGTTAGTTAGTTAGTTAGTTAGTTAGTTAGTTAGTTAGTTAGTAGTTAGTAGTAGTAGTTAGTTAGTTAGTTAGTTAGTTAGTAGTAGTTAGTTAGTTAGTTAGTTAGTTAGTTAGTTAGTTAGTTAGTTAGTTAGTTAGTTAGTTAGTTAGTTAGTTAGTTAGTTAGTTAGTTAGTTAGGTTAGTTAGTTTAGTTAGTTAGTTCGTAGTTTGTTAGTTAGTTAGTTAGTTAGTTAGTTAGTTAGTTAGTTAGTTGTTAGTTAGTTAGTTAGTTAGTTAGTTAGTTAGTTAGTTAGTTAGTTAGTTAGTTAGTTAGTTAGTTAGTTAGTTAGTTGAGTTAGTTAGACTTAGTTAGTTAGTTAGTAGTTTTAGTTAGTTAGTTAAGTTAGTTCAGTTAGTTAGTTAGTTCAGTTAGTTAGTAGTAGTTAGTTAGTTAGTTAGTTAGTCGTTAGGTAGTTAGTTCGTTAGTTAGTCTTATGTTAAGTTAGTTGTTAGTTAGTCGTTACGTTAGTTAGTTAGTAGTTAGTTAGTTAGTTCGTTAGTTAGTTTAGTTAGGTTAGTTAGTTAGTTAGTTAGTTAGTTAGTTAGTTAGTTAGTTAGTTAGTTAGTTAGTTAGTTAGTTAGTTAGTTAGTTAGTTAGTTAGTAGTTAGTTAGTTAGTTAGTTAGTTAGTTAGTTAGTTAGTTAGTTAGTTAGTTAGTTAGTTAGTTAGTTAGTTAGTTAGTTAGTTAGTTAGTAGTTAGTTAGTTAGTTAGTAGTTAGTTAGTTAGTTAGTTAGTTAGTTAGTTAGTTAGTTAGTTAGTTAGTTAGTTAGTTAGTTAGTTAGTTAGTTAGTTAGTTAGTTAGTTAGTTAGTTAGTTAGTTAGTTAGTTAGTTAGTTAGTTAGTTAGTTAGTTAGTTAGTTAGTTAGTTAGTTAGTTAGTTAGTTAGTTAGTTAGTTAGTAGTTAGTAGTTAGTTAGTTAGTTAGTTAGTTAGTTAGTTAGTTAGTTAGTTAGTTAGTTAGTTAGTTAGTTAGTTAGTTAGTTAGTAGTTAGTTAGTTAGTTAGTTAGTTAGTTAGTTAGTTAGTTAGTTAGTTAGTTAGTTAGTTAGTAGTTAGTTAGTTAGTTAGTTAGTTAGTCGAACTTTTTCGGAAAGGAAATATAGTAACATGGAAATTGTTGGAAAAAACTTTAAATAGATTTTCCGACTTTTCTCGATTTTTCGACTTTTTTCAATTTATTGACCTTTTGCGACTTTTCCTGACTTTTTTTCGGCTTTTTTCTTACAAAATAGTCGACTTATCGACTTTGTTAGGACAAAAAATTCGACTTCGACTTTTTCTACAAAATGTCGTTTCTTCTATTATTTTAAAGTCAATTTACATGGGTTAATTGTTGCTTGCTCGCCATATAAAGTTCCTGCAATAAACCTTAATTAACTTTATTAAGTGTTTATGAATAGGGGGTTTATCTCTTCGAATCTACAATTTTACCTTTTTACGAAAAAGGTTCATTTGAAATCCGTAATGAATTACTAAGTAAGTTAAATAAACCATGTGTACTTAATAAAATATAAGAAGCATAAAATTATTGCGTTAATTCGCCTAATGTCGTAATTGTAATCATTCATTCATTCATTGCCAATGTTTTATGCTATGTTCGCACGAGACAATTATTCCTAGATTACGTTCCCATTCATGATTCAACAAACAATTAAATTTTTTTCATCGTGAGAATGGCTTTAATTTGCAATAGTAATTCAGAGCGCGAATTAACTACTACAACTTCCCGAGAGAACATGACATTACAATTGAAGTAAAAAATAGCGAACCATAAATTAAATGAACAATGAATGTATTTCAAGAGAATTTAAATGATTAAAAGGTTTCTAATTGTAGCATTTAATGTGGCCTTTAACAAGAATCTTAAAAATAGTTAACTTTTATTACGTCTGTCTGTTATATATATTTTTTTTTGTAATCTCATAAGGATCTTTTACATCATCAAGTTTTGCGCAAACAAAAAAGTTTTTTCTCCAAATTAAAAGAAAGAAAAAAGACAATTCAAGGATACATTTATAACTTTTGCACTATACCACTTAATAAGGGATATCACTGTTACTTATAACCAGACTTACACTCCCACAGCTCTCAAAGGAATCATATAACTAGCAAGAGCTATGTACATATAGTATATAATAAACAAACAGAAATGAGACGAGACTCGTCTAACTGTACTTCTTAATATGTATGTGGCTGCTCTTACAAATTTATTGTTGTAGCAACAATATTAACGACAATTTTACGCACCTTTTTAAGGGTGAACTTTTTTTCTTTTACTTGCTCTTTTTTTCCGCCCCCTTAAACAGCAGGTTTTTCTTGGTATATATTTTCTTTTATAAGATTTTTATCAGTTTTTATTACAATTTTACTTGTTTTTACTTCGAACGCACGTTTTGTCAAAATTACGAAAGCAACAGGCGTTGGTAGTGGCAATAGCAAGTTTGACTCGCTCTATAAATATGTATTAGGCCTGGAGCTGAAATGGTGGGCAGTCGTTAAACATAAAATAATCTAATTTACATAAGTATTTACATATATACTACATCAAAAGGTACTAAGAAATTTGTACAAGTCTTTACCATAGTCATTGGAATGTTTAGTATATTATTTAAAGGAAGGTTATTAAAAAAATTATGGTTAAGGAAGAGTTTTGATTAAAAATACTGATCTATAGTTTGACTATAAACTGGTCTATAATCTTGACTATAGACTAATCTATTGTTTTGACTATAGACTGATCTATAGTCTTGACTATATACTGATCTATAATCATGACTATAGTTTGATCTATAATCATGACTATAGACTGATCTAAAGTCTTGACTATAAACTAATCTATAGTCTTGACTGTATACAGATCTATCGTCTTGATTATATACTGTAGATTGATCTATAGTATTGACAATAGATGAGTCTTGACTGTAGAATTAGCTATTGTCTCGACTATGGACTGATATAGTGTCTTGATTATGAACTGATAAAAAGTCCTGACAATAGTCTTGACTTTAGTCTGATCTTTAGTCTCCACTA